AGTGCAAGACCCTGTACTTATCTGCATTGAATGCCATCCTGTTGTCCCTGGCTCACTTCCATAGTCTGTTCAGATCCTTCTGGATCTGGAGTACCTGCTCCTCAGTTGTGTCCACTGCCCCTATTTTAGTATCATCTGTGAATTTGATCAGCAGACTGGTCACCCCTCTTTCAGGTCATTGATGAAAAGACTGAACAGAATCGGTCCCAGGACAGAGTCTGGAAAATGCTGGGAATGGTAGGACTACTTTCTGTGCAAACATGCATAGGATTGTGTGTTAGGTATCTTAGACCTTCAGGTATTTAGACTGCTGAGTATTATGGGGCTCAGACAATGAGAATTCATCTTGCAACCCTGAAGGTAGATGTCTCGAGCCATGGGACCTTGTGCCTTGATAATCCAGAGTAGCAATCTCTTGATAAACAAGCGCTTTCCAGCAATTCCCTCCTGGAGTCAGCAGGTATCAGCTCATCCCACAAGTCAAAGTGCAAGTTACTTGAAGCTACTCAAGTTCCTTGGGTAGATGTGGCAGAAAACTCCACAAGCTGGCAGGGAAAAAACCCTAAATTAAATAACTCGAAATTTGCTGCCCATCTGTGAGGTACCAAATCAGTTGCCTCCTGAGATGGTTGTCTCACTCTTCCAATGGCAGGACCAGGTCTTGTCCCTTGTCCATTCTTAACCTTTGGGCTCTCGGGATGACAGGCTGCAACCCTGCTTCTCCTGACTCTAGGTCTGATTGGTGCCTGATTGCTCATGGGTTCTCCATAGTTCTTGTATCTGATCTTGGCTTCCTTTGGGCCATGCTCCATCTTGTCTACTCTATCAAGTACAGCTGCACAGAATCCCCCTGCTTTGTGGATTTTAACCCTGCAAAACCATTTGTAGGATATGAAGGAAGCTGCCATATATCAGGACAGACTATAGATCAAAGTAGATAAGAAATTGTTTCTGTGAATGAAATTACCATGAAGTGTGTGTGTGTGTGATTGTGGAGGCAGGGTATTCACAGGGTCAGAATAGACATTACTTTAAAACAGAGATGTGTAAGTTTTGGCCAACATCTTTCATGCTCTCTTACTATGCTGGCTGATGGGAGTTGTAGGCCAAAACAAACCTGGTCAATTCCATTCCCTTGTCCACCCCTGCTGTAAAACATAATGAGCAGCTACATTAAAAAAAATTACTCCAGTATAGGTATGGGGTAGTGGGGAGACAATCCAACTCCCCTGGATCAGAGTATTCTAAAGTAAAATGGAGGTGGAGGAAAACTTAGCTGGTAGAAAAAAATTTATAATGATGCCTCACTTTGGCCCTGGATAACAGCCTCTGCAATTCTGAACAGCTCTGACTGTGGTGTGTGTGTGAGAGAGAGAGAGACAGAGAAAGTTTAACTCCCCCCCCCTCAAGATTCAGACAAAAACAAAAAATGGCAGATCTCCTGGTGGTTTGCAGTAGGTTGGCAACTGTTGAGCAGATTTTCCAGTCTATATTTGATTGTTAGAATCGCTGTTTTGTAACAACCAAGGTGTAGATTTGCATGTGCATATGGTGGTTATACAGGTGTATTTCTCATGGGCTTCAGTAGGGAATTAGCTCACCCCTTCGGTCACACTTCTGCATCTGGCTCAGTATGTGGATCCCAAACTTTAAGTAAAAACAACAACCAACCACAATGTAGAAGCCACACAGCTGAAGTTCGCCCTCCCCTTATCGAGCAGGAGAGCTGGATTCCATTCAGAGAAGCTCTCTGGAGCTGCATTCCTATGGTGGGCGGAGCCAAAGCAAAAGGGGTGGGGCCCTTGTCTTGTAGTTTAAAGCTTTGCTAGTATGCTAAAGACCAACAATTAAATATTGAGCAGTATTTACATAACTTTGGGATCCAGGGCAAACGAGGCTATTAAGAAAATGACTAACAGAATTACATATCAAGTACAGCCACCTGAGAGGGATGGTTTAACTTGGAGTCCTGCACTGAGCTGGGGGTTGGACCTGATGGCTCTCTCACCTCCTCTAACTTTACTTTTCTAGGATTCTAGGACACTATGAACTTTAAGTCACAGTTCAGTATAAAGTGCAGTGTTACTTCTAGAAAACAACCGTTTCCCTACTTACTTTAGGCTTTTGTGTGAGTCTGTTCTGGAGGTTATCCTTTGGACAAAAAGCTGCGATGTCTGCTTCTTTCTCTTCCCCACCATACTGCTGATTTCCCTGAATTTCCTTCTCATGGACCTTCATGAATGCCTTCACTCCCCATCTGTCCTTTCTCCTCGCCCCCTACCAGCGTTCTACTTGCCCTTCCCTCCTTTCTATGCCCCTCCCACTCTGCACAGCCCACATTCTGGGTCCTTCAGAGGTTGACCCTGCAGTCTTACAGCCAGTGACCAATCCTTCCGTAATGGTGGAAACACTGCCCAAAAGTTGGGAAGCCTCAAAGCAGGAGAGCATCTTCTGACAGCGTAGAAAGAAGCGTGACCAACTGGCAAACACTGGAGGATTGAATTTGGCTTGTGGGAATGAGGTACTGCACCCTTGATTTACTCTGATTGACAGGACCTCAGAGTCTAAACAGGATTCCCTCCTCACTACTGCTGAACTATGTGCTTTACTACTGAGCTATGGTTCCTTCGCAAAGGAGTGAATAAAGTAGGAATTGCATTTAGTAAGCTTATATAATGAAAGGAGAATGGTACAGAGATGACACAATTTTGCTCTTCTGCCTTCTGCAACCTGGCACCCTCTGGATGTGTTGGACTACAAATTCCATTATCCCCTGTCAGAATGGCCATTGGTTGAGCATGATGGTGCAAAGCAGCTGTGGTACTGCTTTCTGTGTAGAAAGTGTTTTTCTTCTTAAAATAGCTTTCTCTTTCTGTTTGGGTGTCATTATTTTAAAATTAATTACCAGTATATTTTCTCAGTAGCACCAAAAGAGAATCTATTATGCATGATTATGTGCATAGTCGATCCAATAGTTAATGGAACTGGGCAGACATTATTGCTTTCTTTTGATGGAAAAGTACAAATGGAGCCATTGATCACTTGCATTAGTGTCCTCAGGAGGAGAAGTATGAGAAATCCTTTGAAGTTAAGGTTAAGGTTTCTAAAAACATACCTATCTGACATCTGGAGAAGCCACAGCAGAGCCAGTCAAGGCTGTAAGAACCCCATTTTATTCTAGCTAATTGCACTGTGATAGCTACCCCTGCAGAAAAAGAGACACTGAATTCAAGACTTGAGTCCTACATCAACAGGAAGCATGACACTTCCTGCATGAAGCTTTTTGCTTCTGAGGCTACATATTCTAACAATGCAAGGCAGGTATGCAGGGATGCAGCTCTTTGTAGGCTTGTGGTTTGATCTGGTGTTTTGCTTGCCCACTAACAAATTAGGGCAAAGGCAGACAGACACATTTAAAGAGTTCCATCCCAGTGGATGCCCCAATCACAGTATGTGTTTTGCTTTGCAAATGTGTGCTCCTTTGATGCCCTGCTTTTCAGTCGAGATTGGCTTCCAAAGCAGCTTGCAGCAATTGAGAACACCCACAAAGAGGCAAGAATAGGATTTAAACAGGGTTGCTGAAGCTCTTTCAGCCAGAGGGCCAGATTCCATTCTGGAGAAGTTCTCTGGGGATGCACTCCAGTGGAGGTTGGGGCCAAAGGCAAAAGAGCCAACTGGGACCAATTCCAGCCTGCTCTAGCTTAAAGCTCTTTCTGGCAGTAGCTATAGTGTGCTGAGCTTCTGTGATGTGCAAACCCACCCTGTGCCATCCTCCTTGAACAGTGGTGTGGATGCCTGATGCATTTGCACCATTCCACAACCAATGACTCACACTCAGCGCCAGTGTGGTGCGGGGGTCGGAGTGCTGGGCTGGTGACCTGGAAGATCTGCACCCAGCCGTGAAGCTCACTGGGTGACTTGGGGCCAGGCACTCACTCTCAGCTTAGCCTACCACACAGGGTTGCTGTTGGGGGGATCAAATGGAGCTATGGAAGCCACCCTCAAGGTGTTATAAATGCACTGTAATAATGATAATTATAATGGGAATATAGAAAGGCAGAGAAAGAAACCTCCCAAAAATGCACAGACATGATAACATGTGTGCACAGGCACACTTACAGGAACCAATTAATCCTGCAATTAATCTGGAAGCAAAAGCTTCACTCAAGTGGCAGGTTAAAACATCATGGACAAGGGCCCATGGCTTCTCCTAGTGAACTTCCATTTGCTCTAGTGGAATTAGTGACTTGGACTGTGATTGTACCATAGATTCATATAAGCTGCAGTGACATTCCTTGTAATTCTTTATATGGAGCAGGTTTCTATCACCTCCACCATATCCTAGGGACAATGTTTTTACTGGCTTTTATCTTTCTTCTCCATATTCTGCAACAGGAGGGGTGGTTTCTCAAGAATCACTGAATTGAAAGTCATTTCCCCATAGTAACAGTTGAGATTTTGCAAGCACTTGTGCCCATAATATTCATGCCCAGAGCATCTCTTGTTTGGGCAAGCAGGCTGACATGCACACGGATGTGAAGCAGACTGTCAGAAAGAAAGACAAGCGGTACCACATCATGCACAATATGTGCAAATACACATACCACCACATGTAGTGACATGTCACAGCAAAACACGTGCAGCAACATGCAGAGGCACACTGCACACAGATGCGGGTCGTACAACCACACGTGCACAGCAGTGCACAACATGGCAAAATGAAGTGATGTATCCTGTACAAGCAAGCACAATGATAGGCCTCCTCTACACACCCGTTGCATGCAGGGCAACCCAAAGCAGTCCATGTGCAAACGTGCACAGCTACCCCCACGAATGAGCGTGCACAAACATACACAACAGACACAAGTTCTCGTTCTCCAATTTACAGATACCTGCTAGGGGAGGCAGCCATTTTTCTTCTGCAAAGTAGGTACCATCACAAAAACTTCAGTCTGCCAAAATGACAAGAGTCGTGCTATTGACATTTAAAATGGGAACTGTGAAATTTCATAATATTTATTGTGTGCACACTATATATGACGATGTCTGGGTTTTCACCCAACCCAACTAAATGCATACCCTTCCAATGTCCTTGAATGTTTGATGTGACCTAAACTTCTCAATGAAGATATCTAAGACATCATGGGAAGAAAGAAACAGTGGAAACATTTGCCTTTCAGAGCAAAACTTTAAAACTATTATGATTCAGACATCCATCATCAATATTTTAAAAATATTGATTATATGCCACATTGTGCAGATTATCCTGCCAAATGTCTTAGGGTGTTTACGCACACACAAACACGGAGAGAGAAAGAGAGAAAAGGGGAGAGAGAGGGGGTGAGTTTTACATTGAAAAAAGGCTGAAAAATGCTGCTCAACTATAACAACTCTCTTGACAGCTCTGTAACACACATCTAGGCTTAGTTTTCAAAACCAGTTTGCATTTTCCATAGATTATCTCAAACAGAACCCGAAATGCTGCTGCTAAAGTACCAACATGCAAGTACTGTGATGAAACAGTATTTGGGCAGCTTTCATTGTTAAGTGAATTCCACAAACTGTTAAAAATGAGTACCTTCCAAACACTATATTTCAAGCTGCGATGCAAGATCTTCCCACAACCACCCAACTTTCAAACCAATGTAAATCAGAATTGACTTAGAACGATGTCACTTGAGTCACATTGTTGAAAGCATCCTCATGAAAGCCTTCTGGGTGGAGTGTTTTGCTTGGGATTTATCAGGTGTTTTGCTTGGGATTTATCAGGTGCTAAATTACATTTACTTTTTCAAGATGTTTTGCCTGTAGCAGCTTCTGCATGTATTACAGTCCTCCTGTATTAACAGAACAGCACACTGTAGGCAATGGAGCGTGTGTGTGAGGTTTAAAACTTAAGCATGGGCAATGGTGTACCCAGCTGATTTTAAGATCTGGATTTAAAAGTCTATAATGGGCAATAAGTCATGGCAAATGCAATTAAAATTCCTCTTATTTCCATCATGGCTGCCATTCCATGTTTTACAACTGTTTTTACAACTGTTTCTATGCCTGTCTACCAACTTTGATTTGAAAAGAAGACAGAAAGAATCTAAGCATATGAAGTTCCGCACTTGCAACTCATTCCAGGAATACAGGGGAGCTTCTGCTGTCCTTATGCTGAGCATATTTACTGGGGCATAACCAGTCTCATTATAGAAAATGATAATAGATATTGAAACTAAAAACAAGATGAGCTTCTGTAATCACTTACCCACCTGGCTGCCAGGTGTGGAGGAAGAGGAAGACCAATGCTGTGGTAGGTGGTGCCAGTCTGGTGGTGTCATGCCAGGTTTGTGCCCTGCTTCATCATCTACTACTTTTGGAATGGTTGTCTGAAACCCCCCTCAACCTCAGCCTCCAAATCCAACTCTAGCTACACCACTAAGCATGGATAGCCAGGGAAAAAAAGGACCACACTCCTGTACCGGTAATACTAGTGCAAAAGAGAGCATTGCAGCAGGTGCAATTTGCCAAGCAAGCATTTTCCTGCAAGAAATCCATGATAGCTTAATCCACTTATTTTATCTTCAAAACAAACCATGAGCAGTAGGTGGCCCAGAGTCACCCACTGAGCTACATGGCCAAATGGGGTCTAGAACCAACTAATCTGTGTCCCATTCCACTCTATCCCACTGGTTCCCAGTCCGTAAAATCTACCTGAAACAGTCGAAGGGGACTATCTACAGTTTTAGATCATGTGTTGCCATCAATCTGCTGATGATGCACAGCTCTATTTCTCATTTTCATCCTCATCAGGTGAAGCTGTGGAAATGCTAGATCTGAGCCTGGCTGAGTCAAGTGGTCTGGAATGAAGGACAATTATGAATGAGCATAAGTCAAAGTCCTGCAGTTGTCTTTTTGCTGCCCACTTAAGTGTTTCCATTTCACAGCATATGACAGTTTAGAGTCAATAAAGTGTTTTGGTTTTGTCAGGTCCAGGTACCCCACCGAGGTATCCACATTGGCCCTTGATGCATTTATGTGGGCTGGGTCCAAGTTAGAGTGAATAAAATGCAACAAAATATAGCTGTAACTATAATCACAGAATAAGACGTTTTGCATTTTTATTTACACATGCACACACCCACCATGAATTACAAGAAGTCACGGAAAGGTTGCCTCCATCTATTCTTCTGTGGCACGTAGGCAAATGAAACTTTCATGAGTCATTAGACTATGAATGACAAATTGATGGCTGCTTTCAACACATGAAGGAGGAAATGAACTCTGGCTAGGTTACAGCAGCCTTTTCAAAAGCAGAGGAAGGACTTGCTATAATTATACTAAAACACCTGCTCACACATATAACCTGAAGGGAATATTATATCTGTCTCATAAAAGTGGTATGATGTATTTCAACCAAAGCTACAACCAAAGAACCTTTGCTCATGGCTGCATTGTATTATGTATGTATGGGGAAATAATGCCCCATAAGGAGGAAGTACTAACTCTTATGAGGTTTGCACAACAGTCATTGTTTGATGAGCTTGGGAGGCCATTGGTTCATCCAAGCAGTGATTGGTAAGAATTCCCACACGCACACTCACATTGCCTGCAGATGTTGGAGATCGGCCTCACACAAAACTTGGGCTTCATCGCTGAGCCAATGTTCATGCTGCTCACCAATCCCGCTACATGTGATCGCTACCACCTTTTTGGGAAAGCCAAGACATCCCTGTTTGAATGAGTGAATGGAAACTGAAGCATGGATAAAACCTTTCAACTTAGCTGTGCTGGGCTGAATTGCCTGTATATTGCCTGCAAATTTAGCAACAACAAATCCTCGCACAATGGTTTCTTCAAAGCATGGTGTTTTTTGATTAGAGAAATTATCCATTTTTTTCCCACTGAAAGATCAACTGAGGATAATGGATAGTCGTCGAGTAACCCAGCTGAGTTGCTCTACTTGCCCTCACCATTTTGGCTTTCCAGAAAAGGAAGTAGATTCAGGTAGTCATTCAGCGATGGAACAATTTCATTGTTGCGGTGCTCACCAGTGACTACATGACATGATACGCAAGGCAGAAGCCCAGGTCCCTGCTCTTACAGATGCGCTCTCTCTGCTATAGCGTGAAAGTGCAAAATTGTTCCCTAAGGTCTCATCACACTTATAAATGCTTTATTTGTCATGTCTTTTCTGAGTTGCACAGTGATACGTAGCTAAAGATTTGCCCTCTCAATTTCAGAGATACTTACAGGGTCAACAAAAAAGCGAGTTGCCAAAGTCTTCTTAGTCTAATACCTTTATTAGGTCAAGCCAAAGGGCTCTACAGCTATTCAGGTAAGGCTCTGAAGGTCTTGTGATGGCTACTGAATGGACCTGCATCTGCCTTTAGAGCTGCTAGAAACAAGAAGGGAAAATGTTAGATTCTCTGCTTTTTTCCTATCAGCAGTAAAGAATCTGTCCTCCATTTCATCTCAACTGGAGGTGAAGGTAGGCAAGTTCAGGCACCTGCCAATGACCCACTGGGGCACAAAGGGCCCCGGGAATGGTACAGAAAAGTTTAGCCCTATCACAAATAGGGCTGTGTCACAAATGAAAGCCTGCATGCAGGAGTACATGCTCTTTTTCATGGAGTTTACTTCAGACATTAGACTATAAACCAAATGTTGTTGTCCACATGTGTGAACATACACCAAGTAACTACCATGTGAACTTTTGGATAAGTAGCCCACTTGAAATGAGTTACAAAATCGTTTATAAGCATATGGCATTATAAACAAAATTTTCCAGCATTAGGAGGAGTTATTTACATCTGGAGTGCGTGAATTGTGCTGACTCATTCTTGTTTTTGATAAAACCCGTGTGCATGAACCCACCAAGATAAAAAGCCATTTCTGCTTTCAAATAGCACATGATTGAGAAAGAAAACCTCCTCACAAGGCAGAGTGCTCTCAATTTCAGAAGCATCATTATTTTGTACTAATTTTGTTTGTGCCTCAGGTACATATCATATGGCACAACACAATGACCACTTCTTTTATTAGTCAGATAATGCACCCTTTAGTGGTTCTGGCATGGAACTTACGTAATGGTTCTGCTTTTTCCTTACAAGGGGAAAATATACTTTAACTGGATTCAGATTTAATAATTCCTGGCACCAGTTCGCAGAAAGAGGGGATATTTACATTGTGGTGTGATGGCAGGGTTGTAATCTCCATAATCAGCATTAGGCCATAGCTTGTCATTCATTGAAACCCAGACAGCATAGTTATCCATTGGCAGTTCCAGGCTTATTGGCTGTTTGTTCCCAAGGACTGTGCTAGACACCTAGAAAACCCAAGGCTCAGGGCCCATAAAACAAAAAGCAGCAAACATGCACAGGTCAATGCATATTGCAAATATATGTGCACCCTTAGAAATCATTGCTATAATTTAATTTCAATTGCTAGCAGGGAAGCTAATTGACCTATTGCTTGCATTCAGGACAGAACTGTGCAATGGCCTAAATTGTGCTTTCTGGAAACTGACCCTCAATGCACTGGCCCTTTTCCTTGGTCTTTCAAGCCCTAGTCCAGATGGGGAGCCCAGAATGCCTGGGACTAGCAAAGATTACCCAATTGTGGATTTTGGGTTTTTATTTCTCATGGACCAGCATGGCTACTTTTGGCTAGGTTGGCTGTTCTTTAACTTGCCAGAGTTATCAATTCTCAGGTTTCTCCCTAACTCCAGATATTGGAATGGACTTAAAGGAGGACAAGTCAGCTTGCAGCACTGAGCACAATTACCAAGGAATAATTCTTCATAGAATTATCTAGGAGTAAATCCCATTGAACTCAATATAAGTTACTTATTGAGTAAACATGTGCAGGTTACACAAGTTTGATGTAATCCTTAACATGTTTTCCTATCCAGATTTCTTTGTAATCCTGTTGTTTCTGAACTGCATGTAACTTCCTCAGCTTCCTTTTCCCCACCTCTATAGCCATATTCAGGGTTGACTCCAAGACATTTTGCTTCCCGAGTCAGAGCAGCAAATAGTGCCCTCCGCCCCCAGTCAAGATGCATAATATTACCCAAACCTAGTGAACCTGGTCCTCCCCTGGCTACATACTCATATATTACCTTGACCCAAATTCAAACACTGCTGCTCTTTCAATCCTTTTTTACAAGCAAACCCACTTGTTTTTCCCCAAGCTGGCTAGGAACCAGTCTAAAAGCCTGGTGTCCTCATGTTACATAGAAACATAGAAACAGAGCAAGTCAGAAGGGGCCTCACGGGCCATCTAGTCTCACCCCCAGCTTCAGTCACAACATGCCTACATGTTACACTCTCTACTAGTCTGCCAAGAGAACAAGTTTTATGCTCTCTTTTTAACTGCATGCCTATCGAGTTCAGGGGGAAGAAGCAGGCTTATTTTAAGGCTGATGATAGCAATTGTACATAGCTCAAAAAAGATCCAGAGTCCATGCCCAGGTGCCCCCTCCACTGCCATTTGGATGTTTCTCCCTCCAACAAACCACATGACCAGGGTTCGGACTGCAAAACAAGCTGTACCCTGAAGACGCATACCAGGTCTTAAGCAGCTTCAGGAAGTGATTTGAATCAAGAAAGTGATACCATGGGATTTGGAGAACAATGCACTTTTTACCTAGCACTGCTGTCCAAATCAAATTCAGAACAGAAAAATAATTCCAAATAATATGTAGTTTCAACCTCAAATCTGTGGCTATTCCATTGTGCTATGAAGGACATAAAAACATGCAAAGAGACAATACAGAGCCCAGAAAAATTACAAATATGCTGGGATACCAAATAATGATGATGACGACGACAAAAATTTACCTGCTAATAATTTCCACCATCCCTCTGGGAATCAAACAAACAAACAAACCCAATGTAAAACATGTACATATTGAACCTGGGTTTACTTGGGGATGTGAAACTTTCCCCCCTTCTTTTCCTGCCATGACAAAAAACTATCCCCAGCCATGACTGTTATTACCAACTTTGCTTCCAGAGTTCATAGCAGCCACAGGGAGAGGAGATTTCTGTTAGGATGGTGCTAGATGGAAGAAAGGGTTAAACTGCATTTATATGACCAAATGAAGTCTATATATTTATATAGGGCACACTGTGGTTATGCATGTTAAATGTTTGTTTCCTTTATTGAGTTACTGGGTCAGCTTTTTTCAGATTACTGGGACTATCCAATTTCTTAAGCTGTAATTTAAATGTTCCATGGACATTTTCATTGTAGATAAACAATTTTCATGCTTAGTGAAGACAGAAAATGCATAGCCCTATTAGTTCCCAGCAACTGGTGCTTGCTGGCAAAAGAAAAGCAGAGGAGCTAAATTCAGTCCTTCTCTTGAACAGATGAATGGCAAGTTCTCAGCTTTTTCCAAAGGGTCGGCGTTAGGTGTGTATGTGTTATGTACTCCTAGCTGGACTGAGTTGAAGAATAGTGTGCCTAGCATCCCTTTGTGCACCTGCATAGTGTCCAGGTAAGCAAGGCTGGCCACCTCCTGAAGACCCATGCTTCAAAAGTGTACACCATTCTGATTCTTGTACACAGTTCTGAGAGCTTATGAACAGTATATAAATGCTTAAATAAAATAAATAAAACAAACAAAAGAGTGGCACCATGGAACAGTTCCCTAGACTAGCTTCTCTGCTTCAGCACTGAAACCTGCTCGTTCATCTGTCTCTTCTTCTGGTCCAGAGCAAAGTGGTGTCAAGAACAACAACAGCAGACACACAGCCTACTTGCTCCCCAACTATCTAGCTAGCACGAGGCAGCAGTGATGAGAAAGGAGGCAGAGTTACTGAGGGCAGGAGCAGATTCAGGGTGTCTTTACCCAAGGGTTTTCTGGGGGTAGCACACAACAAATTGGGGCAAGTTCTTAAAGAGATGGGAGTACCAGACCATCTTATTTGTCTCTTGAGAAACCTATTGTGGGTCAAGAAGCAACAGTGAGAACTGGACACAGAACCACTGATTGGTTCAAAATTGAGAAAGGAGTTCGGCAAGGCTGTATACTGTCGCCCTGCCTATTTAACTTATATGCAGAGCACATCATGAGAAAGGTGGAGCTAGATGAATCACCAATTGGAATTAAGATTGCAGGGAGAAATATCAACAACCTCAGTTCTTTGGCCAGGATGACTTATTTTATATTGTTAATTCGGTTTATATTTTTAAAGTATATTTTAATGTTTTGTGAGCCGCCCCGAGGCTTCGGCGAATGGGGCGGCACAGAAATTTTCTAAATAAAATAAATAAATAATAAATATGCAGATGATACCACTCTAATGGCAGAAAGTGAAGAGGAACTAAAGCGCCTCTTGATGCGGGGGAAGGAGGAGAGCACAAAAGTTGGCTTGAAACACAACATTAAGAAAACTAAGATCATGGCATCCGGTCCTCTCACTTCCTGGCAAATATGGGGAAGGAATGGAGGTAGTGACAGATTTTATTTTCCTGGGCTCCAAGATCACCGCAGACGGGGACTGCAGCCAAGAAATTAAAAGACACTTGCTCCTGGGGAAGAAAGCTATGGCAAATCTAGACAGCATACTAAAAAGCAGAGATATCACCCTGCCAACAAAAGTGCGTATAGTCAAGGCTATGGTTTTCTCAGTTGCAATGTATGACTGTGAAAGCTGGACCATAAGGAAGGCTGAGTGCCAAAGGATTGAGGCCTTTGAATTGTGGTGCTGGGGGAGACTCCTGCGAGTCCCTTGGACTGCAAGGCGATCAAACCGGTCAGTCCTAGAGGAGATCAATCCTGACTGCTCTTTAGAAGGCCAGATACTGCAGATGAAACTCAAATACTTTGGCCACCTAATGAGAAGGAAGGACTCCCTGGAGAAGAGCCTAATGCTGGGAACAATAGATGGCAAAAGGAGAAGGCGATGGCAGAGGATGAGGTGGCTGGATGGAGTCACTGAAGCAGTTGGTGTGAGCCTGGAGGAATGTTGTCCATGGGGTTGCGATGGGTCAGACATGACTTCCCGACCAACAACAACAAATGAAGCTATTATAGGGATCATTGCTTACAGTGCACTGAACATATAATCCAACCATAAATCATCCATTCACAACATCTTCCCTTTCTACTGTTATGATGCATTACTACATTACTGCATAGTAACATGCATTTCTATTTCTCACTTTTTTAAAAAACAGCTGGCAAAGAAGTCTTAGATTTCCTTTGTAATGGCTCCAAGCAATAAAAATTAGATAAGTTAGTTACCTTGATCTGCTCCTCAGATGAAAAGGGTAGGAAGGAACACTGGTACACTTCTAAAATGTTGAGCCATAATATTGCATTTGGATAATGACTCCCAACATTCAAAGAAGTAAAAAGTTATATAATTTACCTTGTATCTGAGCATGCATTTTCCCCAAATGATTATACTTTTTTGCAGTTTTTGACATTTATTTCATTACATTTTGAAACAAACGAGAAAACACAGTTCTTAAGCATTTTGCAAAAATAAAAATGGAAAAAATATTAACAAAAGTAGGTAGAAAGAATTGCAAATTTTTCTTTCTCTGAAGAAGAAAAAGTTAACAAAATACTGATTTCAACGCTCCTTCTCTGAGTGACAATTGCAGCAATTCAGAGTTTGGTCCCTGTTCATACTAAGCAGAAACAGAACTGTTCACTGTACAAACTTTAAGTTTAGATTCCAAGAATATTGAACACTTATATTATTTCAGATTTAAAAAAATTAACTCACAAATGGATAAAGGCTGTGTTCTCCAAAGCAAATGTAGCTGTTGCAGGTATTAGCCAAGCTCTTTATTTTTGGACTGTGTGGATGTAAGCAGAGCAACTTCTAAAGCAAATAGTAATGTTCTCATCCAGAGTCCAAAAAATTGGAGGGAGACCCTAAAAATGTAGCAGAAGCATTTCCGCACACTGGTTTCAAAAATCTAGTTTGTGCAGAAATGATTCCACTAGATTCATAGAGTGTCATTTGGAGGGGACAGCACCTCATTACTTCATTAGTTTTCGGACTTTCTCCAACTCTTCTATGGGCTTCCATTCCTGGTTGATTGTTACCAGCTACCAAAACATTTTGAGACAAAAAGACAAAAAGCAAAATATTAAAAAAACCCAAACACCCCAAATCAGTAGCAACTTCTTTATCAAATATTGGTTCTTTTGCACATTTATGATTTTCATTACTCAGGAACCTATAAAAATTCATTTATACTATGCAACATAGTCTAACCACTATGGACATTTTCTAACCAATTCAAAACTGTTCTAATGCAAAAGAGCTAAGAGCTGAGTTTTGCGGGATTGTACCCTAATTTTCCTTTAAAAGATAAGAGGGCATGGACAGTCAAATGTTTGCGAACTGTATGTCACAGTACTTTTGCAATGGTGAAAGAAAGGACACATTTTAGAATAAATGGAAAGGTTGTGATTAAAATATATTGGCAGATGACTCAGTTTAAAGGAATGCAAAAGGTCTTAATAATACCCCCACCCTGGAAAATGCTTACAGTTGATTTGTTATTGCCTGGTTTTCTTGCAGCTCTCAGAGAACCATTTGCTTAAATATGAACAAATCTTATGAACAAATCTGTTGGACTTTGTTAATGAACGATATGCAAATTATGCCTTGCGTCTCTTTCTATAATCAACATTTGAGCATGAAATTAGTAGCTGAATTATTTCTAAAATGCAGATTTGAATAATAGCCAAACAAAGCAGAAAGATATTTAAGGTAATGCTCTGATCACCTCCTATATACACACCAGAGTTCTATTGATATATTAACCAATATTCAGAAATACAACATTTCTAGAAAAATGTGTAATACAGTAAAATAATTTCTTGTCCTATAAGCAATTCCTTTGTTGGTCAAGTACATTCATTACCTTCTGAGGCTCGGTGGGATTCACATATTGCCATGGCTCTGGGTCACCACTCTTATTAAAACTAAAAGTGAAATATTGTGTTTATTATTTATTTATTTACAATGTTTGTTTATTATATAACATAGAGATAAACATAGAGCAGATTTCCTGCTCAAACAGCAAGTCAGTTTGAAAAACAGTTTATTCAATTATATGAAAACTGGACCTTAAATTTCTGTTCTAATCAGAATTACTTGGAAGTAAGCCCCCCTAAATTCAATTGATCTTACTTCCAAGAAAATATAGGTGAACTATTAACTGATCCATATATAAAAATGGGAAAATACATAGCTTTGCAACTACTGCCTTGAATTAAAGCCTACAGTAAGTTAGCGTTGAGGGAGCTTACTGCTTTAATATTAATATAGGAATAAAACACTTTAAAGGTAAAGATGCTGATGATGAAGGCAACACTTAACATTTTAATGGAAACATTTTGCTTAAACATTTATTTCATCTATATACATTAGAATATATATATACTTTCTAAAGTCTCATTCATTTTAGTCATGTGCTCAACAATTCCTCTGAAATAGATGAGCCTTAAAGTGCTTAACTTTGGCTGGATTGTGTCCCTTAAGCTAATTAAAACACAGACATTAAATAACAAATTCACAAATTAAACCAGAAAATGAATTCTGTTCATTTATTATCCTGTTTATTTGTTGGTTGTTAATTCTCATTCTTAAGATTTTAAACATATTAACACTTGGAAATGAGCAAGAACATGGAAAATAAAGCTTCCTTTTCAAACCAAGTTGACTATACATACTGCACACAATCAAACTGGTCCTTGTCCTATATGCCCATTCCCACAGAAAAGCAACTTCCTCTTCTCAAATAGATTAGCTAAACCCCTTAAAAAAAGGACACAGATTTCAAAAAACAAGAAAAAAGTAGAAAACCACAAAACAAAAGCCCTGTTGCTGATATTAAGATGTGTAACAGGGAAGGGCTGCTTACATTACTTCAGGTTTTCTCAGGGCATGGATGGCAGAATATACTAGTCCACATCCTGTAAGGCTCAAAACGGTAAGCAGAGGAATTAGCTGGAAGACAAAAGGAAGTAAGGACGTTCCTTAACAAGATACAGCATGCCAAACCTGGGAGATACAGGAACAAAACATGAAAGCTAAGCGCTGCCCCTCATTTGCAGAACAGCCTTTGCGTGATTGCGAGGCTGAGTGACATTCCTTTCTGCAGGTCTTTTTCCCCCAAGCATCTCTGTCCTTTCTGAGGATGCTCTCTTGTTCCGCTCCTTGCCTAGGCAGAGGAAAGGGTGATCATACAGTCCTGATCTGCCCAGCATCTGTTTAAACCAAATATTAAAAATTCAAATCCTAACTTACTTCCTTATGCTTCATAACGTGCTGAAAGAGTCCCATGTTTTCCAGAGCAACAGGCAGGTGCAGACCTGCGAGAAAAACCACATTTCAGAATTACCATCAGTTAGCATCCTGAGTACCACTCAGGGAAGAAGCCCCCCACCCCCGTTCATACTTCCCCTCTCTCTAGGAAATAGTAAGTCAAGTTAAGTGCACCTCCCAGAACTGGCCGTCTGTATCTGCGCTGGAGCTCAGCGGGAGGCAGTTTGCTCTTTATATAGCCCGCTACCGCCCAAGGGCTGGATGTGTCCCAAGTCACGTCGCCCGGACGAGACACCCAGCGCAGAAACCGCACCAGGGACCTAACCTGCCAGTGTGTCCCGCACTAGCGGGCCTGGGACGCCCCCTGGTGGGCCCACGCAACAGTCCCTCTGCTCCCGGTGGTGGGGGCGGTCTGATCCTAAGCTGGGGAGGGAGCGGGGAGATATGGAGGGGGCGGGAAGATGCCGTGATGGCTGGTGGAGGAGGGAAGGCTATGGAGGGAAGGTTCTGTTTTTAGCCCCTGGCTTAGTGGCAAGGTGCACTTGTCAATTATGTCATGCTCTTGAGCATGTGCAGAGTGTTTCCTTCACTATTCAATGCAACTCACAAGTTGAGATTTGGAAGTACTGGAATAAGGGCCACCTAGGGCAGAGGGGTTAATTTTAGAAAAGGGTCCCCCCCCCACACACACACATGCTTTAAAGAACCCTAGAAGTCCTGAGAGAAACCAAGGATACACCTGAATTATCCTTGTAAAAGTAAGAAACCAATTACCTTTTTGCCCTCCCAGTTTTATCTGCACCTCAGTGAAAGCCTTGGAAAGATCCTGTGATGATAATGTGAGAAGTGCCCTGACCAAGAAAAGGATGCCTTTCCCCTCATGTAAGAATAAAATGAGATGTACTCAGTGCTTTTTACACCTGCGATGATGGGGGTGGTTTGCTGGATTGCAGAGCATGGCTTTTAAGAGGTCACCTCCTGGGAACAATTCGTGCAGCCCCACCAGGAAGGAGTGATACAAGGACTGGCCAAAGTCACTCAGTCCAAGAATACAGGCAGGCAGCTGCCTAGTGCAACAGTTCAACAAGTGCAGAATTAGCTAGAAATATTCTTGACGGAGGGCAGAATAGTCTCCCCAAGAGATCCCAGAGTTTCATGGCTGATTGGGGACTAGAACCCACATAGATGCCACTTGGAAAATGGCAGAGAGAGATGTCAAATGTTTGAATTTTAGTTATAACTCATGAGTGTTTTGTAGGTTGTATGCTTGATACACAGGCCAACCAACTGTATATAAGTTGCATATTTTCATATTATAAATTAGGTTATTTTATATTTTACTAATCTATTTATTAGTTATACATTACAAATGCAGATATATGTAAGGGAGGATCAGCTGCATGGGATAGAGGGAGAGGGGTTATATAAGATATATTTAAATATTTAAAACCTCCCACGAAACTCAACAAGAAGAACTTGAGCTCATTCTGATTGGCACACATTGCCCAAGTCCGTCTGTTAAGAACTGTGGCACAGCAGAGGTTTAAACCTAAACCTCCCACATCCTAAGCCAAGAATGTATTCACTAAACTTCATTCACTGAAGATCACTCCATTTTTACGATTTTCTTTGTGAGAAAGGTGTAGATTAGGCAAAATCATGAAATCTGTAAGGAAACCATAATGTGTACAATCTATTGCTCTTACTTGCCAGGTTGATTTTCCTTTTGTCTTTCACCAGTAGAGCACACAGTGGTGCAACTATAAGATGATCGACTCCATAAAGGAAACCACAGCCAGAAATTTACCAGAGCTGAACAGGGCTGTCACCCTTAAGTCATTTTGGAGAACCTTCCTTCATAGGGTCACCATATGGCAGAGACAACATGATGGCACATAACAACAACAACAGTGGTACACTGTAGAAAGGTTTCACATGTTTTTTAGATGAAGTTCTGTCCCTAAAGGAACGTACAGAAAGGTCCTATTCAGTGGCACATGGGAGAACCTGGGGTTGCAGTTAAGCAACATTATATTCTGGCGTTATGCTCCTACAGTCCTTCCAATGTCTGGATAGTCCTTTGTTCTTGCTTTAGAGTTTGGGAGGCCCACCCTGGCCTTTTTAGGGGCTGTCCTGCTTGTTCTCCTGAGTGGGCCCTGGAATTCTGCCCCTGAGTCCTGCCTGGACAGCACCACTGCAACTGACTGGGGGTGAAGTTTGCATCCTCACCTGGAAGGCACTGCAAATAGGTGAACTAGACAACATTTTGAAAAAGAGACAGTTTGATAGATATGCCAAAAGTAATGAAATGCCCTCCTGCCCACTTTAGCTTCCCTTCTTGGTCTTCTTCATCAGGAGAACGCAGAGAGGTTTGCCTGCTCCCCTCATCCTGTCTCTTTTGCCTTCCATTTGTGGCTGAAAGGCTAATGAGGGGGCTTGGGGCTTCACTGGCCACAGTTTCCCCATGAATCTGCTGTATTTGTGAAATTCATTACTGATTCCAAATCAATCCAAAACAGCCTACCCCACGAGCTCAATATTCTTCTGTGGAAGCAAAGACTAAAATCCACCCTTCCCTGCTATAGGGGCATTAAAGGAAAGGCAAATATCCATTCTTAAAAACGGCACAGTGACTAGAGTTTATGAAAGAATAAACAAAGCCACTGTAAGTTTTCTTTCTTTCTTTCTTTTCTTTTTTGCTAGGAGACCACTTTGTGAAGGAGATTATAAGACTAAACTCTAAAACCCTTTTCAAGAAGACCCATTGGAAGGTGTGTGGGTTTAACAACTTTCTCCAGTCTGGGCCAGCAACTGGCACAAAAAGATGGTTGGTATTTGATGGTTGCTGGATGAGGCCTAATGGGCCAGGCTTTAATCTAGTCCGACAAGGCAAGTTGGAGCCCACCACCCTCTAGGCTCAGAGACCCCTCAGAGAAAGGGATGCCTGACATCCCCTCAGCTCCTCCAGCCCCAGGCAGATTATGGCAGGGCTGACAAAGGCCCACAGATGTACCTTGGCCATGGAAATGAACCAGGCCTTTAGTCAGACAAGGCCTGGGGCCATTACACTCCTCCACCCAGCCCGCAATCATTTCAATTTGACCAATGCCCTTTTTTTGATCTTCACCTGTGCTCACAATTTCCTATAATTCAGCTTTCGCTCTTTCTGTAGCTGCCTGTTCTCTCTCCCCTTCCCTTTAACCCGTCAGCAGACCAGGCCAGAAACCCCCATTTTCTCCTCATTTCATCCATTTCTATCTCCTCTTATAACAGTCCCAAGAAGTGTCTCATTACCCTTCACAGGAACAGTGTCAGGGCACAAGGGAGAGTGTCCCTTTTTCTTTGTTTTTTCTTCTTTCTTCCTCCAAAATAGTTCACAGCAGAACAGCAACCTCCAGCAAGCCACACTCTGGGCCAAAGTAGCCCTCTGGAGTGAGAATTACAGAAGAAAATGTATAGAAATGGGAGGGAATGCTCAGCGGGGTAGAAGTAGCCCAACTAGTTGTTTAGCGCAATGGCAGTTAACATTTCTATCTTCATTGGAACACACACATATAACTCTCGATCTATGCCTACTAATTTTTCTTCAATCAGTTGGCCCTAAAATATTAAGCTTTTAAAATTTATTATATTTCTCCCTTTTTCCTCTTGGAAGGGGAACCCAAGCGGGCTTAAATAGGGTCACTATTATATCCGCACAACAACTCTGCAGGGAAGGTTAGGTTGAAAGTCAATGACTGGCCTAAAGTGACCAGATTGAGCTTCATGGCTAATTGGAGACTAGAGCCCGGATTTCTGATGTAGCCATCATGTCATACTGAGTTTTTCTACCTCCGTTTTGGCTCCTCAGACGAGCTTCTTGAAAAGCAGGATTTAGGCATGATACATAGGTCTAATATTCTGTCACCTGCATTTTCAATATGTCTATCTAGTCTTGCCTAGTTAATGCACTTGTCTGTTTCAGCTGCCAAAGACAAGACCACTAACAGGGCAAGACTGCATATAAGCTAACAAAATGGAGTAGAAATCTATACAGATTTCATGGCTGGGAAACCATTTACTCCCCTCCATATATGTATTTATTAGATTTATACCCCACAACCACCACCCTGTGAGGTAGGTTGGGCTGAGTTTGTGACAGATCCAAAGTCACCAGTTGGCTCCATGGCTGATGAATTCAGATCACCCAAGTTCCAGTCCCATGCTTTTTAAACACTACACCACATTGGCTCTATATATTTTCCCTTCATGAATTTGCCCAGCCATGAATTTGCATATATTTCCTGTAAAAAAAATAAGCACACATTTTCCTGACAGTTTAAGCACCCCTGTCCCCCATGAGAAGGCAGAATGGGATGGAGCAAATTGAGTGCCAGCACCAACAAACTTGAATTTCTGCATCCCCATATCATTCTGTTCACTTGGCTTGGTTTAGCCACCTTTGCAGAACTGTCAGGGAAGTAACCACAACAGCAACTGCTCCAAAAAGGAGCTGTGAAAAATCAGTGCATGGGGTTAATATTGTGTTACCTGAGAAAAGCTGGACACCCAGAGAAGCTGAAATTATGGAGAGCCCTGAGAAATGTGAGTTCAGCACTTCAAATGGAGAGTATTAGATTGCTAAAGCACTCCCTTCTCTTGCATATTTATTTGTTTGTTTATTTATTATTAAATTTCTATACCACCCATTAGCCAGAATGGTTCTTTGAGGTGGTTTACAAAATCATAACAACAAATACAATAAAGCAATAACATTAAATATTGTATACATAGTATATCAATAATGCAAGAACAATAAAACACAATAAAACCCCCACAGTAAAAACCTCACAGCAGCTACAATTCGGATTTATCTAAAGGCACAGTAGCATTAAAATACAATAGATACCAAATATAGAAATTATTTTAAGTATAAAATTTTGGGCAAATAGAAAGGTTTTTGCCTGGCACTAAAAATAGCAGAGAGAGTGCCAGGCAAACCTCTTTGGAGAACTGATTCCAAAGTTGGGGTACCACCACTGCAAAGGCCCTTCCCTTTGTAGCCACCCTTGCACTGGTAGCCAGCTAATTTTCTGATTATTTTTTAATTGACTGTCTCCAAATTAGCCTATATGCATTCCTGTTTTTACAATTTCCATCTATATTAACTTTTGCATTTTGCTCTCTTAACAGCTGAAATTTACAAGGACATCAACCTGACAAGACTATGTAAGTGTGTGCTTTTCCACCTGAGAAAGACCAATTTTTAAAAATGCTAAAAACATGTGCACGTG